GAATGCTATCCAACAGTTAAAATACAAATACTAGCCTCATGTTAATTCTTTAATTCACACACAGAAGGTACAAGAAATTTAGAAACAAATCCATCCATCTCTCCACTTCTCTCCGCAGCTACAGAATATGGTAGCCAGACTGGATAACATACAGACCATGCGTCTCCTAAGCATCTTAGCTAGCAGAACAAATTCATCTCCACAGAGGAGTCTTATCAGCTGTGTCATCTCTGGGAAGACTGTGCCCTAAACATAGTGCAGCTTCCCCTGCTGAGCCTGGTCACTGAGGTCTAGAAGTCTCTGTTGGAAACTGGCTGCATAAATGGAGCACCACATAGGTTGCCTTTTCTAACATTTATATTTGATTTCAATTTATATTTTCACTCATATCCAGAGAAAGGTGGTATTTTACAAATGTGGCCAAAACAGATTCAAATTCAACTGCAGATCCATAAACCTTTTCTGCCAAAGGACTTACTTTGAAACTAATAATAATCTAATATTAAAGTTAAATGGAACTTTTTAAAATCTAAAATTGTTAAACATCCAACAGTAGAAGAGAGAAAAATAAATTGAAAAGTAGTCATTGAATCAGCTTGCTCTTCCTCAGGCATAGTATGGAATGGTATGAAATCCTAAGACTTGAGAAAGTAAAAGATGAGAGCACACACCCTCATTTTTTTGTAATGAGGCACCAAATTATCTCATTCAGCGAGATGACTTGCAGAGTGCTGGAAGTGGCCTTTGAAAACAGGGCAAGAGCTTTCTACAAGAAATGAGCAGACAAGTGCTATGGCACAAGACATGACACTAAAGGCATTGCTCCCAAGCACACTCAAATGGAAATACTGGCAAAAGTCAAGGTACTGGACATACATGTTCCTAGTAGACTTATACAGCCACTCCATGAAACAGGTTGCATTAGGCCAAGCAGAATGCTATGGTTTGGCATGAGTTTTTTTCTCAACACAGTATAAAATGTGGATGTACTGCTACCAGATATTGAATCTGTTAACGGAGAATGAAGATTCACAAAATTTCAGTTGTCCTATAACATCTCAATCATATCTCAGCTTAAAACAGTTGCATTAAAAAACGAAATTGGTAGATTAAAAGGCAAGAAGTATAGTTAGTATACATGCTGGAAACCTCCTTAATGATTGTAGTTTACCTGAAAAATAGTACAAGATAAAAATGCCTAGAATCTTGTCTTTCCTGAAGTATCCCTGCTTACAAAACAAATTAACAGACTTAACAGATATCGTAACAGTCTGTGAATTTCTTATGTGGCTGACTGACAAATCAGGCACAGAAACAACCGATGTAACATCAAATATTTATATACATATATGGTAGATGTCTTCACAAATGAGGAAATTCAATTCAAAATGGGTATTTAGTGACACTGTATGGTTTTGTGTGATAACCTATGTTCGCGCCCTACCACTTCTATGTAGCAACTACAGTCTTGTGTTACACAATCCATCTCATTGAGATTTCTCCCTCTAAATTAGCTCATCAAGTAATATTCTGTATCTATTTTTTAAAAAAAAAAGAAAGAAAGAAAGAAAGAAAGACTTCTTTTCCTAAGAAAGCAAAAAACTAAATAATCAAATAAACTAAAAGCTTCAATATCTCTCTATTTTCTGCACCTGACATAAAGGAAATTGATAGAAAGGGAACAGGGAAACTGATTACTGAAGATATAATTCAGTCTCAGAGTTCTGATGATCTCATAAACCTTTATGGGTCTGTCAAAAATTCTGGACTGAATTACAGGTATGTTATCAATCTCTTTGAATCTATTTTCGTATATGTTATCAGTGTCTCTCTGACCATTATTCTATGTAGAAAACCAAGGTAAAATTAGACTTTGATCATTTCTGCTGGGCTGAAGTTTGCCTTTATTTCTTTCGACTAAGTTTTGCACTGGAGAATTCTGATGCTGCTCTCATGCATTTCTTTCACCTTCCCTGAAGGAACTTCTGAGGATTTGAAAGTCAAATAAAAATTGAATCCCTTAAAAGATAACAAGCAAGAAACATTTTTAGCTACTTTCTACCTTATGCTGTGTATCAGTTGTCAAGTTTTCTCTTTTTTTCCTAATGTTGTAAAGGGAACCTCTTCTCCTACCAAAACAGAGCTTGCACATGCTTGCTCACTTACTTACACTCTCCATTTACCAGTGCTTACACCACACAAGAGAATGATGTACAACACTTATGAGCATTTCAATGGCTTAATAAAAGTTAATAACAACTCTGTTAGGTAAAAATGGATCTAATTTGTGTAACTTAGGGTCATAAAAGTTTGTCTTGGGTGTTCATGGCAAGTTCTTTGCATCATGGGTGCTACAGAGTGGCCTCTGTGGGAAGAGACATGGGGGTGTCCCATACCGGACACAGACAGTTCCCGTTAGTTCCATGGGACCCACCATAGGATGCAGCTGAGCCCCTCAGCCAAGTGTGTGGTGCCACTCTAAAAACTTATTTAAGAAAGGGAAAAAAATGCCAGAGAAAAGGAGAGAGAATAAAAAGAGTGAGAAAGAGCACAGGAAACACAAAGGTCTGAGTAAGAGAAGGTAGTCCATGGTGGAGCAGATTGCCACACCACAGCTCATCGAAGACCCACACTGCTGTAGATGGGTATTCTTGAAGAAATTACAGCCCATGGATACCTCATGGTGGAGCAGAGGAGAAGCATGAGGAGGAAGGAGAAACTAAACCACTGTGTACTGGCTAGAACTCCCCCCACCTCCCTGCAGCACTCAGGGCTGGGAGAGGAATCTGGAGTAAAGGAGTGAAGTTGATCTTGAGAGATGGGGAGGGGAAAGGTATTGTTTTAGTGTCTGTGTTTCTCACCATCCAAACATATATCGGCAAATAATAAATTAATCTTCCCCAAGTACAGTCTGTTTTGTCCACAATAGTAAATGGTAAACAATCTCCATCTTTCATCTCAACTCACGAGATTTCTTATCCTATTTTCTCCCAATGTCATGCTGAGGAGGGGGAAGGAGTGAGCAGTTGGGCGGGTGTTTGGCTACTAGCCAAGTTTAACCCACCACAACACATTACCGTGCCTTTCTGTTTTTGCTTTTTACACTGTTCAGACTAATTCAATATTTTAACTCACTAAATAGTTACCCGCTAGTGACTGTCACCTTTTGCCCATCTGAGGATCAAACATCAGACACCTATTACATTAGCAAGGATACTGATTTGCTCTGAATAAAATCAGCCATATTGAGTCTACTGAAGGCCAAACACTGTGCAGTGTTTAAGAAAATTTTATGAGTGTTCCTTTAATTGTATGTTCAGCTTCCAAAGCAGCCCTTGAAATGTTGATTCTAGGAAACTAATTTTACAAACTAAGTCAGAAGATTTTGTGTAACCTTCCTCTCAGGTCACTGCAAGTATAAATTATCAATCTCCAGAGAAATAAAGAAACATGATAGACAATGCAAATATTTTTCTTCTTGACCTATTAGACCATGCTGACATGATGTTGCTTCCAGTTTTTGCTGTTATATAAAGTCATTTGCACAGCTCCAAATTTTCCATAGATTGTAAGTGAACCATTACACAGCAGCTTACACTGTTTTAGTGGATTTCAAACCCATCGAATAGGAGACTGCCAGAGAAAAACAACTTACTGAGCTTTCCAAGAGAAACACTTGTCTCTTAGGATTCAGCACTGGAAAGACTTACTTGTACAGTTAGGTTTACATGCAAAGGCATGTAATGCATAGACATAGGTAAGCCTTTGCACTACATCGCCTTTAGAAGTAACTGAGAAAATACTCATTGATATTAACACACCAATGATTGGGGTTAAATTCACCATTCTAGTCCACTGGTTTGAATATACTCACTTTTCCTAGATGCTTGTATTAAATTCCTTTGCCTGTTCAGGATATCTGTTTCTTTTTGTTTTTATTATGGTTTCTTTTCACCAGTTAAGTTTTACCTGGTTTGTCCTCTATCTTTGCTATCTGAAAGATGAGGAGAGGAATGAGAAAGGACACCTGCACTGTTTGTGCTGTTGCTAGCATTTCTATGCAATGTCCACAAGCCAGTGTTGACTCGTTGTTTCTGTTTCCTTCACAATATTTTTTAACAATTCTTCTCAGATAAACTACCTCACAGTGAAAAGTCAAAGGGGAGAGTTAATTACTCTTAACATTTCCTCAGAACAGAACATAAGCAAGGTCAAAACATATCTCACATAAGTTTAATCCACTCCAACATTGCCTGCAGATCACCAGTAACAGATGTTTAGAGAAAAAGTAGAAACCAGTAAAGACAAGCCTGATGTTTCTCCCTAAAGCTCCCCCTACTCACCCTCCAGAAATCAGGATGTTAAGAATGTGAGAAATACAGATGACATCTGAAACCGTGGTTAGGTACCAGTCGATGGTCTCATTTCTCCTTGAACAATAAGTATCAGAGTAGCTGTGGCAAAGAGCAGTTATGCATCCAACACCAAAAACAATGTTAGTGCATGCCTGGGAGTCTTTTTCTCAGTCTTGATTACGTATTCATACCATGCCTCACATGCAATATCCTTTTCAGACAGATATTTCTGCTCATAGCAACATGTAATGTTGTTTATAGAACTCTCCATACTCTTTTTAAAGGAAGATAGTCACTGGGAACAAATGAAGGTTAGTATGTGAATTTGACTGTCAAGATGCACTTCACTTTCACAGAAAATAGCTATTTGCAGCCTTCTCCTTATCAACACTGATCAAATCCCCTTTGGGATCATGTCCTGCTTCATGTATCAGAATAAATATAAGTAAAATTTAGTCACTTGAAAACCAAAACAAAGACGTTTTGTCCCATTAAAGTGCTGTTAAGGCATTTCAGTGATATTACTCCTAAAACATTATTGCTAAAAACTGCAAGGAGTGTGACTTAATCTCTTAAGAAAAGATTTTAAGACCGTGATAAAACACTTTATAAGCCAAATTAAAAAGATGGAAGAAACACAGTTAGTTATCTTACTTCAAATGGGAGCTCTGTTATTTCCATATTTCCAGACAAATCCAGTTTTTCCAGATTCTCACAGTCACCCAGTTCTGGAGGGACTGACTTCAAATTATTGAAACTCACATTAAGCACTTTAAGTTTTTTTAAGCAGCCTGTGAGAGAAAGATAATTAAAGTCAGCACAATAAAAAAAAAAAAAAAAGGCAGAAAGCAAAAATGAAAGGCATACTCAGTTTAACAAAGTAAAAAACTCCCTAATGTGATGACGAGTAAGAGATTAATAAATATTTTCTCCAGTGATCACTAACATTGTGGAGGTAATAGTGTTTTGTTGCACTCTTATGGATTTCCTTTAGTCAGCAATGGTTTTGGTGAGAGTTTGAAAGGAAGGTAGCAAAGACTCGCAAAGATCTTGATTCTACCAGGGATGAGGTAACTATTGACCTCAGTTGAAATTAGAGAAGTTGGGTTTTGGTTTGGTCACTTCAGAAAACTTGTCTGTTAACTGAAAAGCATCTTAGTGCTTTTTGCAGAACCTGTTCAGTGGGAAGAATCGCTCCTGCTAAGCTTACTACACCAAAAATTCTGCATTTCGTATCCAGCATTGCATACTTTTGATTACAAAAGATAATGGCCGTGTGCATTTTTTCATTATTTTCTTTATTGCAATTTAATATCCTTGTCGGCTTAATTTTAAGGTCCTTTTAATATTCTAGGCTACATTTAGTAACATTATACTTCATATTTCTTTGATTTATAGCATTACTTAATCTTCAGTAAAAGCAGGTTTAGAAACATTATTAAAATGCAAAATGTATTATACTGAAAAGATGCAAATTATACTGTGAAGGAGAAGGAAGTAAGGAATTTGAACGTATCAAATAGCTGATGTGTTAGCAAAGGGATCCTTAAGTATGTATATAAAAAAATAAGAACATTCCATGACAGTTGTGTTGTTGTATTACATAGATGATCATAGAATCACAGAATCATAAAATGGTTTCAGTTTCAATGGAAGGGATCATCCAGTTTAAAGTCCTGTCAAATCTGATTTTGAACACTTCCCATGATAAGGCATCCACAACTTCTTTAGGAAACCTGTTCCAGCGTCTCACCGCTCTCATTGTAAAAACTTTCTTCCTTGTGTCAAATCTAAATCTACCTTATTTCAGTTGAAAACTGTTACTCCCTGTCCTGTCACTACAGATCCTGGTAAAAAGCCTTTCTCCATCTTTCTCATAAGCCTGCTTTGTATATTGAAAGGCTGCAATAAGGTCTCCCTGGAGACTTCTGTAGGCTGAAGAACTGCAACTCTCTTCAGCCTTTCTTCATAGGAGTGGTGTTCCAGCCCTCTGACCATTTTCCTGGTCCTCCTCTGGACCTGCTCTAACAGGTCCCTATCTTCCTTATACTAGAGACCCCAGAACTGGATGCAATACTCCAGATGGAGTCTCACAAGTGTGGAATATAAGGGAAGAATCACTTACTTTGACCTGCTGGCCATGCTTTTGATGCAACCCAGGATACAATTGCCTTTCTAGACTGCAAATACACATTGTCAGCTCGTATCCAATTTCTTGCCCATCAGTATACCCGAGTCCTTCCCTGTGGGACTGCTCTCAGTCCTCTCAGCCCCAGTCTGTATTGATGTGGGAAATTGTCCCAGCCCAGATGCAGGATCTTGCACTTGGTCTTGTTGAACCTCATGAGGTTCACATAGGCCCACTCCTCCAACCTGTCAGGGTTCCGCTGGATTGCATCCCTTCCCTCAAGCTTATCAACCGTACCACTCAGCTTGGTATGATCTGCAATATTCCCCCCTAACTAGTGGAATTCCTGTCATATTCCACTCTAACCAGTGATACAGCACAGCATTCACAGGAAAAGCATCAGTAAGAAATGTAAATGCAATTCAGCAGTTGGAAATCAGGAGAGAACAGCATCTTGTGTCAACAGGTTCTCAAAGCAGGCTACATATTGGCAAACCAAGACAAGATATACACCAGATTCACAATTTTACATTATACCAGTCTTTTATTTATAATCAAATTTTCAAAAAGATTTTGGTGTTTCTTGGGATTTGAATGACACTGGAGAGAATCTCTCTACAGCACGTCTCAAGTGCTCAAAACATGCCATAACAGCTAGCTTATCCTTAAGGCACTAACAGTTAAACTCCCTCCAAAGTGAAAGTTGCTTTAGAGCTGCTCACTTTTTGCAGTGTGTGGAAATCTTTACCAGAGGCCAGATGATATTTCCACAGAAAAGGCCAGAGAAAAAACATAGAGAATTGAAAGCCCCACATCTTTCCCCTGAGAAATTGCTCTTGTCAGAGGCAGAGGCATTCAGTTTGATGACCAATACCAGCAGCCACCAAATGACACAGCATTTTACATAAATCCCAGAGTCTCCCTTGGATACAACATTGTCTTCAAATGATGGCTGGACCACTCAAATCTTTCTCACAGGTGGCAAACAAGCCGCATATGGTAAGAACTACGTTATATTATTCTCTACAGGTTGCAACAGAGAAAAACACAGAATCTTCCGCTCAGCTTCCTCCTGGTTTTAGCTCTGCCAGAAATAGAAACTGAGGTGGTATTTCAAAATTCAGCTGTCCTTTTAGGAAAGTAATCTTGTCTTTCCTAGTCTCTGTGAAAGGGTGTTTTAATTAAAATACTAGAAACAAAATTTTCTGTAAGACTAAACAGGCATAGTTTTGGCAATACATTTATGTCCCACAAGGGTCATTGCGGCTGGTGCAAGAAAGTAATAGAAGTAACTTAATGGTATAAATGTATGAACCACCTTATTTCGGGATTTTTAAGCACACGAAAATAATAAAAGTTTTGCCTACCTATGATAAAGCCTCACCAGGTATAGTATCAAGATGCAGACAAATGAAGGTATTATATCACATGCTAAATAGATAAACATCAACTTGCCACCTCATTGCAACAAAATAATCACTGAAGCAGAAATATCTTAAAGCAGAAATGTCTTTAAAATAGAGAATCAGAGAACAGCAAATTAATTGCTCATCCAATTAATCCCTCAGAAGGAGAGCAAATCCCATTGGAATGAAAAAGGAACTACCCATTAGCACCAGAAAGTTTTGTCTTTTCTTTTAGCAGTGGAATATGGTACTAGGTCTGTCTGGAATGGAGTTCATTTTTTTCATAGCAACCCATAGGGTGCTATGTTTTGGATTTGTGACCAAACAGTGA